AGGGAAAGAAGTACAAGTACATTGAACTCGGTTCAAGAAGAATATGTTGAGAAGTTCCTGCACAAATTCAACATAAGGCTAAATCTGTTTGCACCCCCATTGGTAGTTACATTAAACTATCTAAGGAACAATAGCCTAAGTCTAAAGCAGAGCAAGCACAAATGAGAAGGACTTCGTATGCTTAAACAGTCGAAGTTTTAATGTATCTGATGATATATATAAAACCAGATATTGCAAATACAGTAAGTGATCAGTCGGAACACGAGAAAGCCAGAATAACATCATTGGGAGACGAAAAAGTGAAAACTCATATATTTGAAATGAACAGTCAACAAGGTAGTTTGTTTTGGAAGTGCAACAATTAATGTACTGAGATGTGTGGATTTAGATTTGGTAGGCAATGTTGATAGTAGAAGTACACAGGTTATATCTTCACTTTGAGTTATACAATAGTGAGTTGGCTTTCCAAATTATAGAAGATTTTTATATTATCGACTACAAAAGTTGGGTATATTGCTATCATTGAGGCTATGAAGAAAATGATTTGGCTGCAGAGCTCTATGGTAGAACTGGGAAAGGAGCAAAAAAATGAAAAACTTCATAATGACAATATTAGTCATAGATTTAGTAAAGAATGTTGCATTTTATGTCAGGACGAAGCACACTCAGTTAAGGTATCTTTTTTTATTCGTGCGATCCTAGTAGATGATCATTTATCTTTGAAAAAGATACACAATTCAAAATCCAACATATAAGTCGACTAAGATTGTAATAGTTGAGAAATTGAAATTATGTTTGGCTTCAGTTCGAGTTCAAAAAAGTTGAGATAGGGTTAAGTCACACTACAGTTCACAACTATGAAGTTGTTGCAGTTTGTTAGAAAAAACGAAGTTGATTGTGATCAATCTTCAAATGGGAGATTGTTATTATGTGAAGCTTGATTATGTTAAATCAATTGGACACTTGAAGCCATCAATTTCACCGATCAAGCTTGACAGTGTGTTTGCTTGGGGGTTTAGGGTGAC